ACCGGCTTCGGGCAGCCCCCATGCCTCTGGACCCTGCGCCCCCGGAGCCCGGGAGGGGAAGTGCCCGGCCGGCGGCTGGGGACCGGAGGCATGGGGGCTGCCCGAAGCCAGTAGCGCTCGGGCAGCTCGGCTTTAAACAGAGCCAAACAGTCAGGGGAGGAGCAGAGCAGCTGGAGCCCGGGAGGGGAAGTGCCCGGCCGGTATTTTTCCCGGACATGTTCGGCTTTTTGGCAGTTCCCCCCGGACGGGGGTTTGATTACCAAAAAGCCGGACATGTCCGGGAAAAAACGGACGTACGGTAACCCTACTGTTTAGGCAGTCTGACTTGCTAGGAATAATACAGGGTAGGCAAAGGACTGTGCAGTCTGGATAAATGCCAGTCAGGAGGGAGAGAGACATGGGTCTCGGCCCAAGAGAGGTGACGGCTGGGAGCCCAGAGCGGGTCCCTTGGTGAACCACGGAGAGGGAATACAGATGCATTTGCCTGAACTGTGACCACATTTACAAGTGCTTGGCTACCACAATGGTAAGAATGGTATAAAAACCGTGATAGAAAGACATTTTAACCTACCTTTTCTTAAAATTGTAACTTAAAGACACACCCATCCCCTGTTTTTTGTCATTCCCCACTCTGCAGAACATGGGGGGGGGTGCTGCAGTACCCCCAGGTTTTATGCGGGGCCACTGGCCCTGCGCCCCGCTCCCCAGCCGCTGACTCTGAGCAAAAACCTGGGGGTGCTTCCTGTGCCTATGCCCTGGGCCGGCCCTCCGCCCGCACTCCGCTCCCCAACCCTTCACCTCACCTGGGGCTCGGGTCCTGGCTGCTGGACCTACTCTCCAGCTGCTGGCCCAGCCCCCGGGGCCCCACGCCCAGCCCCACCCCCTGCTCCCAGGTCTTCGCTCCCGGGGCCTGCCTCACTCCTGGCCCCGCACCTGGGGCTCTGTTCCTGGGGCCCTGGATGTCGGCCCTGCTCCCTGGCCACTGGTCCCATGCCAAGGGCCCCGCACCTGGACCCCCACTTCTAGGGCTCCACTCCAGGGGCCCCACACCTATCCCCACAGCTGGGGCTCTGCTCTTTGCCCTGCACGTGGGGTCCTGACTGCTGGCCCCTGCCCAGGGCTCCACTCCTGGCCCCACGCCTGCCCCCAGCTGTGGCCTCAGCTCCCTTATCCTTTCCGCACCCCCCTCCCCCTTCCCGGAGACACAGCTCTACTCTCAGCCCTCAGTGAGGGAGGCAGGGAGAAGAGGTAAGGGGGCTGGCTTTCAGCACCCCCACTACTAAAAATGTTCCAGCGCCACCGCTACAGAATTGAAGTAAAATTAATAACAGTGATTTTATGCAGGACCTGCACAAAGTAGTCTTCTTTCTGGCCACAACTGAAAACTGGGGGGTGGAAGGAGGTTGTAGGAAGGAGCATCCTGGGTCTTTGATATTATGTCTTACTTCCCTTCTGAAGTAGCATCACTATCGAAGCTTTTCTACTATCAAATGGTGTTAGCAACAAGTTGGGAAGGAGACTGTCCGATGAGCGACAGGATAAGGAAGGAAATTGTTTTCCAAATTCTAAAAGAATATTGCAAATGTTTTGCTTTATTTTTAAGTATAATTTTTAAAAGGTTAATTTACCTATAACAAGTTTTACTTATTGTTACATTTAACAATATTAATATTATAATAACTTTATCCAAATATAGTCTGATATATTCTATTTTCATACCATGCAGTAAAAACCAAAGACTGAGTTTTCATATGTTTTTGGACTCTTTCTCCCCTACATTTTTTTTTCTTGTAGGATTGGCATCTTCTTCGCACCTTTAATGCCAGCCATGCAGATTATATCATTTTTTATAATATTTTATGTAAAAAAGGTAAGGAGCTTTATATTTTCTCTTCTTCAAGAACCATGAACCCTAACTAGTCCAACATCTCAGCAAGAGCACATTCTTACCTGAGTTTTCAGGAGCAAGGTGGAAGCTTCAGCTTCTTGAAACATGGATCATTACTGTCAGGAGCCTTGAATGATACTGTATCTATGTCCTGCCTCTACAGAAAAAGTTCTTCGGGGGACAAAAAGAGAGGTTAAGGGCAAAATTTATCAGGTGCAGAGAATGAAGTAGTGAAATGAAAGTGTGGGTGGGTGTGAGTGACACCCACCCACACACACACACACCAGCCAAAACCAGAAGTCCCCCCCATTGTTGTATGCATGACTGTACTATTTTCAATAATTGAACACTTAGACTGTGTCTACCCTATGAGTGCTACTGCTGCAGCTGTGATGCTGTAATGTATCCTACATTGACAGAAAGGGTTTTTCTGTTGATTTGTAGCTAATCCACCTCCCCAAGCGGTAGTAGCGAGATCAATGGAAGAAATGTTCCATTGACCTAGCCACATCTAGACCAGTGGGCGAGGTTAGCTTAACTATGACGCTCAAGGGTATGCATTTTTTCACACCCCTGAGCAATGTAGCTAAATTGATCTTAATTGTAAGTATAGACCAGGCCTGAGTCTACTGCCATAGCATATAGGAGAAGTTGACTTCTGCTGAGTTCTTCTCAAACTCAACAAATATTAAATGTTTTGTGGTCTTGAAAGTAGAATTGTACCATTGATCAAAACTCCCTTGAACCTTGGGGTTCAGGTGAAATGCCCCCTAGTCTGGTTTTCAAAATCCTGACCAACAGAATCCAGTTTTGCCTCTCACTATTTGAAAGGCTGTACTTTATAATGATGTAGTATGTTTGTTGCTGGAAGTGCTGTTTGGAAACTGTTGATGAATGCTATTCCTATGAATTTGCTAGCAATTTCAACTGGATTGAGTGAAACACAGTTATTTAAGTGGCATGTAACACAACTCCATCTGTGTGTGTGTGCATCTTTTTTTAAAGGTCAGTCTGATGAGGAATTGTCAACCACCTCGCAAAGTCTGGAGAGCTTCTCAGATGACAACACTCTTCATTTTTCTGCTGTTTTTCCCTTCCTTTACTGGAGTCCTGTCTGTAATGGCGGTCACTATCTGGAGGTAGGAAAGAGCATCAGCATTCAGTCTTCACTATCTCTAAACTGAATTACACCTTAATCAGAAACCAAGCAGGGATATTTCAATACATACTAAAGAGAAATCTGCATTGTCTTCCACTGAAAGGTTTCCAGTGTTGCTCATAAACTGTTCAGGACTCTAAAGAACACTACTGCAAACTCATGGACTTTAAGTTAATCTCTTGAAAGCTGTGCTCAACTATTGAAAGAGAGTGGAATTGAGACTGTGCGGCTCCCCCCAAAGATCTGAGGGATGAGAAGGAAGCAGAGGAAGGGTGGTACTGGCCTGTGACATGGGTAACCCAGGTTCCTTTCTTTCCTCTGCCACAGACTTCCTGTGTGATTTCAGGCAAGTCACATGGTGTCCCTTTGCCTCAGGTTCCCCATCTGTAAAATGAGAGAGAGTAGAATTTCCCTGCTTCACAACATAGTGTGAGGATAAATGCTCTAAAGACTGTGTGAGGCGCTCGGATACTATAGTAATGGGAGCCATATAGGTATGATAGATAGAAGCTGCTATTCCTGTTTGTCCATTTTCCTTACATTCACTTCTGCTCTCCCACCTGGAGGAACAAAAGGCGGCCCAAGAAACAATGCAAGATGTATGGAGGCAGAAAACTTTTATAAGAAAAATCAGATGAGTTGCAAACCTCTGTTTGGCGGCTTGAGTTTGGTTTGGTTATTAAATGAAACATTTGCTGTGACAGTCTGGCTCTCCCTCCTCTCTTTCTCTCAGAAGTTTCTGTGACAAACCCATTTCCTCTTCTCTCTTGCACCCAATACAGCAGCCTCGCTTGCTAGCTACCAAAAAGTGACTTAAGATCAAGGGCAGGCCCAGAAATCAGGGTTCAAGTGGGATGTTTCCTAGTAGATCTTCATAAACACTGGGAGGTTTCACTCAATTCAGATTTGCATGGCTTGGCTCCATTCCAGTCTCTGCAAACCAAACCTTCCACCTTATCACAAACAGAAACCTTTATTAACCTACCTCATGAATGCTAAGACCTTTTTATTTTTAGTCTGAAAATTACTGCTTTTGCTAGGGGCTGAGTCACATCCTGTTTTTACCAAAAATCTTATCTGAATATTCTTCTACAAAAATGGGGCGGAAAAACAAGGTGGTGGTGGTGTGGTTTTTAAGCATGCATGATGCATCTATAAAAGCAATGGTTTTTTACATTCATAAGTTTACTGCAAAATCTATGTAGCCTCTACTATGGCAATTAACTTGTTATAACTAGCTAGAGATTGGCACCTGAAAGGCAGTGCTGCCCACTGCTCTACTGTGAGAGGGTCTTGTGTCCAGGGTCAGCGCAACCCATTTGTCGACCTAGGTGGTCGCCTAGGGCACTGGCATTTGGGCGGTGGCGACCACGGCGGCCGAACATCTGGCCGCCACGGTCATCATTGGTATTTCGGGGCAGGATCTTCCGCCGCCTCTGTCGGGGGCGCCATTTTGGGAGCCTGGCCTTCCGCCACCTAGGGCGACAAAAAGTGTGCCGGCGCTCCTGCTTGTGTGTCTGCTCGGATAGTCAACTGGGCCCATGCTATCAGCCAGGGACTCATCAGTGTAAAAACTTAAACACAGACATGGAGCAAGCCCTCTGTCAGTTAAGATTTGCTCAGGCAGTTACACTTCAGTGAGTTGAACTGTATGCAGTCTCCCAAGAAGACCTAGTATTCTGTGGCAACGGGTGTAACTAACCCAAGAGTGAGGGTACAGAGGCCCAGGGGAAATGAACTAGCACTTTTTAAAAAATATACTTTGTCTTGTTTTTCCAGGCTGACGCCTTCTAAACAGTGTGGTCCGTTCCAAGGCTTGACTTCCATAATTCATGCCGTTTCTGGGTGGATACACATATTGGACAGCTATTCCAGCTCGAAATGGGTGGTGTGGATTTATCGTAACTTAATTGGAAGCGTGCATTTCTTCTTCATCCTCACTGTCATTGTCCTGTAAGTGTCCATAAATGAAACTGGGGCGGGGGGAGAAAGTGAGGGAAACTTCTTCATGAGGCGTTCATTCTCTCTGATGAAAACGCAAAGGAAACTTTAAAACTTAATTGGTGGAAACAATAAATATATTGGAATTTAGTGAGAATTTGTGATATGTGAATAGAGAAACAAAGACAATTTGCTCCTTTTTATATGAGGTGCTCAGAGCTCTTTACAAAGCAGCCTCACACTAGCCCTATGAGAGACCGTTCTGCAAGTACACCCACTTTATTGGGTATCCAGATTTACAAAGCCTCTTCCCACTAGTGCATTTACAACTTACAAAATAAGCAAATCATCTTGGATACAACTGATAGGATAGTTTGTTCTTCCTGTTTGAAAGGTAAGCAAATCGATAAGTAAAGGGGGCAGATTTTCAAAGGCACAATTGACAGGCCGGGTCTACACTAGGAACTTTTGCCAGTATAGTAATGTTGATTAGAGGGTGATTTATTTTTGGTGACATTTTTATACCAGCAAAAACCCTAGTGTAGATGCAATTATGGGTGTCAGGGGAAGGGGGGTCCTTTTGCTAGCATAGCTTCTTTTGTTTAGAGGAACTAGTATAGGCTATGCCGGTATAGACTGTCTATTGACTAGGAGGGTTTGTTGGGGTAGCTGGAACCGGTAAACTTTTTCTAGGCTGTGGGCTAGCCAACACTGCAAAGCCTTTAGTGACAGAGATGCAGCTTATATTAACAAAAGGGGAGGGATAGCTCAGTGGTTTGAGCATTGGCCTGCTAAACCCAGGGTTGTGAGTTCAATCCTTGAGGAGGCCATTTAGGGATCCGGGGCAAAAATCTGTCAGGGGATTGGTCCTGCTTTGAGCAGAGGGTTGGACTAGATGACCTCCTGAGGTCCCTTCCAACCCTGATATTCTATGATTCTATGAAAAGGAGTTCATTTGCTGATATAAGCTGGGTTTTGCTGGCAGAGCTATGTCAGTTAGGGGTGTGATTCCCCTCCCCCCATCCCATCATCTCCACACGCTGTCAACCAACGTAGCTACGCCAGCAAAACTTTGTAGTGTAGACCTGGTCTACATCTACACTACAGACTTTTGCTGGTATAGCTATGTCAGTCAGGGGTGTGATTTGTGACCAGCATAGCCTGTGCCAGAAGAAAACCCTATTGTAGGTGCAATTATACCAGCAACACTGTGCTTTTTACCTGAAACGCTTGGTTAACTGCTGTACCAGAACAAAGCATGGGTAGGTTGGTATAGCTGCATCGGCATTAGGAGCCCTTTGCTATTTTATACTGGCATTCCTATATACCAGCAAAGCACTTCTAGTGTAGACATGGCCCTGGTATAGACCTGGCTTTGGCATGTAATTCCCATTGGCACCTAACTGCCATTTGTGCCTTTGAAAAGCTCTCCCAAAGCAGTTATGGGTTTTGCCCAAGACTCCAGAAATCAGCAGGAAAATTGGGAATAGTAGATGAGTCATTGCTCCCAGTCTCATAGTCCAATCACAATCCCTTCTAAGAGTCAAATCCTGATCCCATAAAAATCAATAACAAAACTCCAAGAGATTCCAGTGGAACCAGGATTTGCCTCTATGTGATAGTTATTAAGGTTCATTAATTGGCAGGGGAAGGGGAGGGACAGTGCCAACAACTGGTACAAGGTTGGTTGAAAACAATGGATTCCTGTCCAGAACTAAAAGGTACCTTGTGGTGTTGACCTGCCTGCCGTGTATTTGTGTAAGAGCCCATTGGGTCTTTCCCAATAGAACTTCTGACCCATTTAGTATTTGTCTGCCATTACTCATAAGTGGGACAAGGTGGGTGAGGTAATATCTTTTATAACAACACTGCATATTACTTATAAGTAATCACTGTGTAAAATGAACAAGAGCTCTTCTTTTTTGGCAGTGATTTGGAAGAGAAGCATCACCTGAATATAAATACTCACGTGCTGAACTTTCTTTTCTTTCAGAATTATCACATATCTTTACTGGCAAATAATAGAAGGAAGAAAGATAATGGTCAGACTCCTGCATGAGCAAATTATTAATGTAAGTTTGTTTTTCAGGTTTCTATTATTTAAAAAAAGACAGCAAACATGTTAGCTCGTTTCCTCATGTCCGTTGCATATGACGCTTGCACGCAGAGAGGTTTCCGTTTTGGCACAAGTGAGAAGAGGAAAATATCCTCGTAAACACACTTGACTAACCAATCCTGTTTGCAGTTTATTTTAAGGTTACACACAATTCCTCAGACATGTTATTTGAAGCAAGGAAATGGTTTGTTTTCCACAGGTCTGGTGTCAGATGGCTAGGTGTCAAGATATGGTACTTTCAGGAACTAGTAGTCTGATCTGGCTCTGCAAACTGTGTGTCTTTGTTAGATTTGGTTTCTAAATAGACAGAAATTGAATTGGTGGGTATAGCCTTTTCAGTGCAAATACCATTCCCATTAATGCTAATGCCTAAGAGGACAGTAAAACCTGGGTGTTGTAAAAAACACCACAGAGCAGTTGCTTTATTTTCTTTGTGAAAATAAAAGTACAATTAGTTTTACTTTCGTAAATATTATTTTTATGCTTTTTGCTTGGTATGTGTGAGGAGGGGTCTGAAGTTCATCATCCCAAAGGATTTTGTGACAATAAAGCCAGACTTAGAGCAGCACCTTGAGTTGTGTGAAAGTTTTGGGTCATGCGCCCCCATCCCTGAGACTCTTGGCTAAGCAGGATTTGGTTAGTCTGGAGAGCTGGCCAGCTTGCTAGGGAGAGGACAGGGGCTGCTAGAGCTGACTTGCTTTCTGAAGCTGGGACGTGGGGCCTATTTTCTGCATGTAAAGTCTGTGTAGAAGTCATCTTGGGTGAAATTCAGCAGTTTGCGATGGTCCTGTGTATGCTCCTTGGGCGCGAGAATAAGAATTGTCATGTGCCAGGGAGGTAGGCTCCATGCTGGCTCTGAATGTACTGATATGTGGGCACCACTGGATCTGTTCTAGTGGCCAAGACAACCCCAATGGAGGTAGAAAGAGCCAGCCTGTTGGCTAGAGTAGTGACTGCAGAGGGGCTGTACTGCAGGCTTCCTGTCTGTCTGTCTGCAGCTGGAGGAGATGATTTTATCTCTCCTCACCCTACCCTCCCGCTGCCACCTCCCCTGCAGGGTAGCTACATAGTCTGTTTAATCAGATTCCTGCAGGATTTGAGAATGTAACTATATGCATAACAACTCCCTCTTCTGCATTCTCTCAGCTGGCTTTGGGAAAACAAGTGCTTTAGACTGCATCTCTCCCTGCCTCCGCAGTAAATCTTTGGGGTTACAGCCTGTGACGGGTTCGGTCACAGAGACCCCCTTGGGACTGTCACCTGATGTGCTGAGATTACCTCTGAGCCCATTTTCCCTGCCAGCTTGGGACTCCAGAATCCTGTCTTGTTGAGCCAGACACACTAGCCTGCTGCAACACAGGCCCAGGTCTGGTCCATGCCCCCAAAGCTGCAGACTTTAGGTGACCTGATTAACAGTTTTTGGTTATCTCCAGCACCCGGACACCCAGCTCCCAATGGGATCCAAACCCCAAATAAATCTGTTTTACTCTCTATAAAGCTTATACAGGGTAAACTCATAAATTGTCCGCCCTCTATAACCCTGATAGAGAGATATACACAGCTGTTTGCTCCCCCAGGTATTAATCACTTACTCTGGGTTTATCAATAAACAAAAGTGATTTTATTATGTATAAAAAGTAGGATTTAAGTGGTTGCAAGTAATAATAGACAGAACAAAGTAAGTTACCAAGGAAAATAAAACAAAACACGCAAATCTAAGCCTAATACATTAAGAAACTGATTACAGATAATATCTCACCCTCACATGTTCCAAAAAGCTTCTTTCAAAGACTAGACTCCTTCCTATTCTGAGCCCAATTCTTTCCCCTGGCAATGTCCTTGTCAGTTCCAGCAGACATCTTAGGTGGAAATTAGGGGTTTTCTGATGACTGGAAGCTCCCTTTGTTTGGTTGCACCCCCTTTTATATCTTTGGCACAAGGCGGGAATCTTTTGTTTCTCTGGGTCCCCACCCCTCGTTATAAATGGAAAAGCACCAGGTTTAAGATGGATTCCAGTATCAGGTGACATGGTCACATGTCATTGTGAGACCCCCTCCATTCTTCCAGGGCTGGCAGGCACATATACAGGAAGGCTTGCTGGTAAATAAACCATTTACAGCCAATTGTCCTAGTCAATGGGAGCCGTCAAGATTCTAAACAACCATTAATGACCCAACTTTGCCTAATTACAATAGGACATCAGAGTTATACTTCATATTCCTAGCTTCAGATACAAGGATGATACATGCATACAAATAAGAGGAATATTCAGTAGGTTATAACCTTTATACTGATACCTTACAAGAGACCTTTTGCTTGAAGCATATTCCAGTTACATCATATTTACACTCATAAGCATATTTCCATAAAACATTATGGAGTGCAACGTCACACAGCCCATCTAGAGATAAGTTTTGACTAATGGAGTTAGAATAACTTGGGTCTTATCTACTCTGGGAAATTATTCTGCTATACATATGCCAGTCAATTTCTGTTATAGCTGTGCCAGTATAACTCTCTTGTGTGGACATGATATTCTGGAATAAATGTGATTTTATTCCACAATTATTCCACTTTGATTGTAATTGCTATCCTGGTCAATTTCCCTATCTAGACAAGCCCTGCGATTGCATTAGGAATAATATGCACATTCAAGTTAATAACATTCTTTTTTTTTATTGTAGGAAGGAAAGGATAAAATGTTTTTACTTAATAAACTACGTGCACTGCAGACATCAAAACTAGACCCACCCAAAGGAGAACTGCAAGAGGTCAGTTCAAAGGCGTTGGTGTTTCTGTGTTATTCACATTCTTTAGATAAGTGATCACAAGGCCAGAAGGGAACACTATCTATGAAACAGGGAAAGATTAAGACTGAGATCTCAAAACTGGATACTCTCATGAAAAACCAACCTTCCACACAAACTTCCTCACGGATAGACTTTACAAAAACTAGACAAGCCATTTACAACACAAACTTTGCTTATCTATGAACTGCTGATTTTATAAATCAATCACCAATTGGGGGTACATCCACTCCAGTTGTTAACACCTTTGCAAAGGCTAGTCTGGACAATGCCAATGCACTTGTAATTTACCCAGGGGATCACCAAAAGGTAAACATCTCAAGTAAAAAGAAGAACAGGAGTACTTGTGGCACCTTAGAGACTAACAAATTTATTAGAGCATAAGCTTTCGTGGA